GTTTTCTCATTCACCCTAATTTCTTGGAGATACGGCTCCAACAACCGAATGTTTTTTTCTGATTCTCGGATCGTTGCGAAAGCAAACTTTTCCTGACAGTTTCTCGCGATGTGCCCTTCCTTTTTGCAGTTGTAGCAGATTAGCGGCTTCCGTTTGTTTTCCGATTCAAATGCCTGTGTGGTAGAAACCCCACTCGATTTCTCCGCTTCTGTTTGCCCTTCCCCTACACTGTCCTTCGTAAGAGACGGGTCCTTCTTGAAATTACGGTGCGGATCGGGTCTCCGTTGATCAGGTTTCTTTGAAAAGCCCTCTTTCCTTTCATCCTTTTCAACGCGCACTGCCCTACTATGCAACTTTCGGCGAGTATAATAGTCCTCAGCTAACTCAGCTGCCTTGTTTAACTGTACGTCCCCAAGTCTGTCCTGCAGCCAAAGTTTGACATCCTCCTCGATGCAGCGGTAGAATTGCTCCAATGCAACGCATTCCACCACTTTATCGCGGTCGTCATAAACACCTTCGCCCTTGAGCCATTCAATTAAATCGGCCTTAAGACGAAACGCGAAGTCAACGTGTGACTCATTCCCCTTTTCAGCATACCGGAACCTTTGCCTGAAAGCCTCGGGTGACAACTTATAACGTCTCAAGAGCACTTCTTTAACCTCGTCATAGCTCTCAAACGCTTCCCTCGACAAGCAAGTTATCGCGTCGGACACTTCGCCGGGAAGAAGAGCTAGCAGGTTCCGCGCCCAAAGAGGCCGCTCCAAAGCGTTTCGCTCACAGACGTGTTCAAACTTGACGAGATACTTCGCCATGTCCTCGCCTACTACGAACGGTGGCAGTTGGTCCCGAATTCTAAAACCGCTGACCTGAACTGTTGGAGAAGCTACGCTAGGCGCCTGCGAACACTGTAGGATTGCCAATTCTAGTCGTTTCAACTCGAGACGCTCCTGTCTCTCGGCCTCCTCGCGACGTTCGCGCTTTTCAGCTTCTTCACGTTCGCGAGCTTCTACTTCTCGCCTTTCAGCCTCCTCACGGCGTGCTTTAATATCCACCCAGGCCTCATCGACTTCCTCAGCCGACACTCCCTCATCCTTCATGATCTCAAGGATCGCTTGCTTTCGTTTCGCACGGCCCAAAGTAATGCCGAGTTCCTCACAAATTTCGATGAGTTCCTTCACAAGGTTCTCCATCGTTCACACTAGCCTCTTGCTGTTTGCCCCTGTTAACAATTTACTTGCCGTACCCACTATAAGTCAACTAGCAAGACGCGCAAGCAATTTTTCACTCTCCCGTGTTTGCCCCCTCCGCATTACCTTGGTTTCAAAGCACTTCGACTTTGCTTGAAACGATCAAAGCTCACTCTAATGCTTCACACAGCCCTTCTCTAAACTACTACAACCTGAGCTAGAGTAGTCTGGTGAACTGAGGGGAAAACATCAGGCACTCACCGCATCGATGTCGCTGACGCCGGCCGATCCCGCAGCTGCCAACCACTGTTGCGAATCTGCCTCCGTGGATCCCACCGCTGACCTCCACTGTTGCGAACGACGGACCGATCCCACCGAAGCCACCACTGTTGCGAAAGACGGCGACGCCAACACGGTCCCGAAGGCGCCACTGCTTTCAACTCCGCCGGGAAGGTCACCAGCCGTTTGGTAGCGTATGTTTCTCAGCTCGCGACTGCTTCTGCGCAGAGCTGATACGACGAGCAGACGAGACGACGGTGAGTTAAACAAGGTTTATGTACAGCATATTTACAGAGGCGTTACAATTTCGGCACTGGGGCCGACAGAGACTCGAAGAGCCGAGCTCTCCTCTCTAACACATAGGTCAACTTTTCGCCTAAGACCGCCGACTCACACACATGTCGGCTCTCCGACATGGGGACTCCTCTCTCATAGGACCGCCGATCGCGACGCACCGCAGGGCTTCTTTTATAGGCACCGGGTCCAACCAAAAATGTCCAATTAGAAGCGCCGCTGGTCGTCAGGGCAGATTCCTCCAATGGGGTCGCCGCGCAATGCGTCAGACCACCAGACACGAGGACACCGGCTCGCTGTCACGTGCGCCGCTGACTCAATGCACGTGGGCCAGAGAGGCGCCGCGCGTGTTCACGCCGTCGAGTTGTTCCCGTCAGGCGGACTGCGGGCTGGCCTTGACCCAGATTGCTTTTTTCAGAGGCACGGACGTTTGACGAGGACTCGCTGGCATAACAGGGTAAAGAAGGGATTAAAAGCACAGGATTAGAAGGTATAGAGATAAAGAGAGGGGGAAGGAGAGAGCCGGGCACAGGGACAGTGACACTCAGGAGTAAGGAGAAAATAGGACAGATGGACACGGTCGCAGGAGTCCGAGGACGGGGCACCTCTCGGCGAGAGCTCTTGTCGGCGTCAGGAGGTGGCGTAGGGCGAGCCATTCGGCCAGAGCTGCGCTGTCGTCAGAGATCGCGGGGGCACAACCAGTCAGCATGAAATCCAGCGAGCGAGTGAGAGCTGCTGGGAATCTGGTTGTTCCTGGCTAGACTATAGGCTTTTACCGCCTCTCTTTCACATTCCTTGCTTCACTGGGCATTGTCTCTTTTTAAAATCTCTTTCGGACTTGTTTCTTTCTATCTTTCTTTCTTTCCGTAGTCGTTCTCGCGTCTTGTATCTTAATCTTCATTTCCTTATCTTTCTTTTTTTCTCTCGGCTTACGTCTTGTGTTAGCGAAGCGAAATAGAAAGAACAGCACGAACATAGCTGAGTGCCGGTTCACGGTGATGATAATTTTCCATCTACGACATACGGCCAACCTCGAGCGTAACAGCTCCGCTGTAAAATTTAGGAGCTCGCCTTTATTCCGTGGAGACGGATGACCAGCGAAGCAGTTAGCACGCCACAGAGGTGAAGGCCCGTGTACTAAGATTTGGGTGCACGTTAAAAAACCCCAGGTGGTCAAAATTTCCGGAGCCCTCCACTACGGCGTCTCTCATAATCAAATGGTGGTTTTGGGACGTTAAACCCCACAAATCAATCAATCAACGCCACAGAGGTGACACAGAATTTCGAACCGTAACCGATGACAAAATTACAAGCTTACAAACGGTCTGTCCAAAAAGCCCCTTCTCAATGTTTCACATGCTTCTACAGTTTTCCGTTTGAGCAGCGCACTCGTGTCTTCGATTGATATGTCGGGTTTAACGTCCCAAAACCACCATATGATTATGAGAGACGCCGTAGTGGAGGGCTCCGGAAATTTCGACCACCTGGGGTTTTTTAACGTGCACCAAAATCTGAGCACACGGGCTTACAGTATTTCCGCCTCCATCGGAAATGCGGCCGCCGCAGCCGGGATTCGATCCCGCGACCTGCGGGTCAGCAGCGGAGTACCTTAGCCACTAGACCACCGCGGCGGGGCCGCACCCCTGTCTTCGTCGCGACACGTGTCGTCTTAATTGTCTGCCTTTCATCGTGCGCTTTGAGTTGCGTGCGTGATCTCGAGAGGCCATCCGAGGCACATGCGCATTTTTTTATGCATATTTACTACAAATGAAACTCTGTTCAACAAAGTAATATATTCCGTTAAATCGAGAAGGGCATAAAATCAAGGAAAGCATTTTTAGGTTCTTCGAAATATAACGTGCGCGAGGGCAACCCTATCATGAATTTCTGCCACGCCCGAGCGATCCATGCGATATGGATGCATAGTCACATGAAGATAAGGCAAGCTGCCGATATTCAAACACAATGATAGCGAATGCATGCAGTTAATATTAGATCAGACAAAGCGAGAAAGTTCAGAGCAGGCGATCAGTGCGTCTGTCGCAATAAATAACGAAAACAATTACCGTGTTCCCGTGGGAATATTTGCACGGGCAAGCACTATCAGCAAGCGTTGTTTGTTTTGTTTTTTTTAAACGGCTACGAACTGCGGCATGCAGCGTCGTCGAAATAAATCTAGTGTCGTGACGATCGTATAGGTGGCTGGATGTTTTAATGCGATCGTGAATGAAAATTTCACTTTACTTTATTACCGATTCGGCAGTATTAAAATTAAGTGGTAAATTTGTAAAATCACGGGTTTCATTAGATTAAGTTTATAAAGCTTTTGCCACACGTGCTTTTTTTCAATAACTTTTTAGGACAGTCGTGCATATAGGGGTGGTTCGCCCACCGTGAAAACTGTATTGTAGACGCAGTGTTAATTTGGACTCTTTGCCAATAGAAAAATATCTTGACTTCCATCTGTTGTGAGGCAGGCGCGTGTAAGGCGCCTAACTAATGGTGTTCCGTATGGGCCAGTATATTGTGTATCTTTTGAAGACGATAATCTTTCTTGGGGACCTTCGACGCAAAAGTTTTGGTCCGTCCGTCCGTCCCTCTGCCCGCCCGCCCTTAACGGTATCCTAAACAGCACCAAAGTGGCCAAACTATACTCCAAACGGCCGACCCCATCTGCAGCGCCCACCAATATTGCTCAGGGTTCAGCGTTCATACCTATGCGTTTGTCAATGAGAAAGCAATTATTGTTGTTTTCCTCTATCTCTGTCGATGGTTTGCTTTATCTAAATATCAACAGGTGGTTGAAAAAAAAATGAAGAGAAAGAAATATGTATCGCTGCGATGGAAACAGAATAGGCATGTTTGAACGAATGAAAAATTGACGAAAAGAACAAACAGACACCAAATCATCAAGGCCCAGGATTCCAGGCGAACTGAGAACTACAACACCCATCGCACTAATAACCCAAACGGGGTTTGGTAATGTTCATCTGACGGCATGCCCTGCAAAACGTCCCGATTTGTTGTTTTTCGCAGCCGCGGAACAGGTCGTGACTTTTTAGCATGGTGTCATTCGCACTAACACCGAACATGCAACGATCCCTCGCATAGTCCGTGTGTAGCAGTCGTCCTTGAAAGCAACAAGCTAGTTTCGGTTTCGATGACGTCATTCGCCAGTTTCGTCAACGCCGCATCTCGTGCATTCTCGCGGACTGAGTAGCGCTTTGGTAATGGCGGGCATGGTATAGTGGAGTGGGTGACGATGGGAGAACTAAGTGATGGTTACAAAGCTGTCGTACCACCGGGCCCAACATGCTGTCATGATGCGTGGTCGTCCAGTAGCGCAAACCACTTACAAGTAGCAGCCAAGTCGCCATGGCAGACGCCGAGGCCGAGAACAAAGTAAAAAGTGCCATTGAAGTCTGCGCCACAGCACAAGCGATGATTGATATTAATTCCGAGCATCTCGAAGGTCTTCGAACACGGTGTGAGACCAGCGCTGAATTAACGCAGCACGAAATACGAGCTCTCGAAGTAAGTAAAACTGTGGTGCTTTCTGTTTTTCTTCTTTCCGGATCGCCAGGCGTCGGCCGGAAAGATATCAGCCGGCTGCTCTGTAGACACCCGAGTTTCCATTGACTGCGAGACAGCCAGGAAAAAAAAGCCGGAAAACACCTCTCTGTAATGAAGTTGTGTGCAGGTATCTCGTACTTGTTGAATCGCAATCGAGATTGGCAACCCCTCATTTTTTTTTTTTTTAACGTCCAAGAATCTGGGACGCATTGTTTTGTCGCCGTGGGATAAGTGTGTCACCCGTTCCCGTTTCTTTTTTTGTTGTTGAAATCGGCACGCCGGGCGTGTTTTCGCTCGTCTTGTCAGTATATACATGTTGGTTTTGCAGCATCCGCTGAACTTTAATCTTTTTCGGGTTTGTTTCATGTTCCATCAGTGTGTTAGAGCCGACGGCGTAGTTTTCGATGGCATCATAGGACGTTGTCATTGCGAACATTCGTCATTGCGATGGAGTTGGTACCAACGACATTTCGTGTACGCACCAAAAGTGCGTCACACTGTCAGCGCTAACGCACTGTGCTCGCCTAACTATATCCGATATTTCTAAACCGCGAATGTCGTGTTCACGCGTGCATTGGAGACGTGCTCTGCGGAATCCCTTGTTCCATTGCAGACTCCTGGAAAGCACTTGAGAACATAGTATTTATCGGGTGATAACGGCGTTGGTATTGGGACTGGTGTCGTGCGTGCGGTGAAGATTGCTGTGGGCAAGCATGATAGCGTTATGCGGAACACGTCGGGTCATTTTGTGTGTCAATCGTGTCGCTGTAAATTTCTAGGGGCATTAATACTGTTACCCTCGATAGCTGCGCTTTCCGAGAGTTCATTGCGATTGGGCGAAACGGTCGTTACCGTGTTGCAACTTTCGGGGAATCGAAACACATCTGGCCCTGTAAAGTGGCACTACCAAAGCGTGGCGTTTTGTTTTGCACAGCTACCGCTAATTCTTGGTGAATATAAAGCCCTTCCTGTAGATTTCTAGCTGTGTGTCACGTTAAAAGATTACCTATGACGCTAGGAAATAACAGGGTATGCCTTGTGTTGCATGTTTAAACAGAGTTTCAGGCCCGCTATCACTGCAGTCGATACTCGGCAAAGAACTGGGATGCCACATCAATTGCAAGGCCACTGTAATATGTATCTCATGTTTTGAGAAATACATGCACACGTTTCCAATAATAATGACAAGCTGTTCCCCACGTTCTTTGCATGACATTTCGCCTGGAAGCACTTGTACAAGTGTTTTTGGTGTGGCACCGCTCAAATCAGTTTATGCTGCAGGTCAGTAGGTCAGGGCAGGACAATGCTACTAATAAAGTAAGCATTAGCTCTGTGTGGGTTTTTTATGGCTAGGGAAACTGGCCATCTAACAACAAAGTGTGCTAGTGTATTCTGATGCATTGGTTTTCTTTGTAACAATACTCAAACTGGTTTCAAGAAGTAACCATTATAATAAATTGTCTAGGTGCTCTGATCATTTCCCACACAGCTTGTATGGTTTAGAGAGTTTTAACATTTAATGAACTCAAAAAGTTTGGCAACCTTCGAAAGACAGGACCATTTGGAGGCTCCCTGAAATGTATATTTTAATATCTATGCTGTGCATATGTTTAGACAACATATGTAGTTAGTCATCCACACCATAATTTAACTGAAACACCTCATATCTAGAAAGGTGCTAGTGGTTAAAAGTCCTCCCTATACATGCTCAGTCTCTTTAATGAGTAGTTTGAGGCTTATATTGAGAACCTTTTGATAAATTACACTCTTACCCCCGTATTCAAAAACGCTTCTTGACTTGAACTCAAAAGTATTCTGGGGGACCTTGAATGGCTTTGAATACATGTGCTACGCTTTCATTAGTTGTGACAACCCCTCTTTTCCAGACAAAACTCATCAAGCTGTTCAGCCGCCAAGTACTTGCAAAACGAAAGTGCAGCGAATGTGAAAATGCATCAGAACTTAAGAATTACCCAAAACTGCTCCTGTGGCTCAAGGTTGTTGGGCTTACACCCAACTCAATACAGGTATGTCATCTTTAAAAATGTGTGGTCAGTGTATGGAACTAACACTTCATTACCTGGTATACTTATTGTGAATACACTCCAAAGCTTTTCCTCAATATTGTATATACAAGAATGTGGGTTTGTAATGGCTTGGTTTGTTTCATGTATGCATTTTAGAACAGTAAAGCCTTTTTACTTGCAGTGGGTGATCGCCATCTGTCTCGCTATTTTTAAATCTCGCGCTCCACCATGCTAGGCAAAATGAATGCACATGTAGAAGTTCTTTTTTAGTTTGTGTTATAGTAGACAGATCACTCAGTAAGCTTATTGTGCCTTTGCTCAGTAGCAGTATTCCTTACCGAGATGATGATGGACTGTGTTGCCTTTGTGCAACTAGAGGCATGCTAATTACTGAAGATCTAAGAGGTGGTAGGTTAGGATAGCTTTCATAGTGGGAGGGCAGCTGAGCAAGCAAACAAAGATACCACACCTTGTTAGTGAACCATCACACAGAACTAAGTGGAAAGACACCAGAAAACATGACACTTGCTTCACCTACACAGTATGATGACCAACTTGCCAAGTTTTCACTTTACTCAACTTTACTACGCATTCCCGACTTCTCCCTAAAGTTCATTGGGAAAAATTTGCATTTCCATCAACTTTTTCTAGAAAATGTGCCCAGGAAAAGGGTCAGAGGCTACTGTCAAGACTTTTAGCTCCAGCAGGCTGCTACATATGTACTTTCAACATTTCAAAACATAACTGCTGCTGAAAGTCGTTACTCCCTACATTAGCTGGAAAGCAGAGACACCTGTGACGTTATTTCATGGAAGTGTGCATTTCATCATAGGCTTCCGTCTCTTTGCATGTCATGAAGGGATTGTCTAACAAGTTCACAACATTCGATGATATGCTTGAGAAGCCTGAGCAAGAGATCAAAGGCTACCTCAGTGACGTCAGTGCTCGTGAAGAAGAGAAGCGGCGTTTTCTCATTGCCATGCGCAACCTCAAGACCTACACCGGTCAGTCATTTCCATTGTGTAACACTTGTGTGAGTGTTGATTCATAATGTAAACGTATGAGACTAGATGACTGCTTGAGGTGTGGCTGGGTTGCAGTATAGGAAGTTGTCATGAAAGAAAAAGGTGTACTTCACATTGGGCATTTAAATCTAATAAGCTCAAATTTCAAATCAGTACATAAGACATTTGTGTACAGTTGACAACTCCTTGAAAATATATTTGAAAACATATTCTGTGCCACTCACAGTATTACTAGTTGCCCTTTATTCAACTTTTTCTCTTTTTTTTTCTGCTGTTCATGTACACTAAAGCTGTGCCATTTTGTTGTTATTGTTGACTACTATTGTTTTCGGAATTCATATATAGCGATTCATTTGATGCAGTCCTATTTGAGAGACTCTAAGAGCAGGCATCTTAATCACAACACACTTGCGTTAGTCAAAGCGCCTTGTCATTTTCGTTTCCTTTACATATCTCGCTTGTGTATTGCTGTGCAAATGTCAACCTAAGGTGTTCTTCCTGTGGCTTCCTTGAATGCGTGTCAATTGTAGGAGACACTGTTGAGGACTTGTGTTAAGGACACATTTGCCTTCTACAGTAGTGTTCATTCAAGCAGCACTGACACAAAAATTTTGAAGGTGGGATAACTCGTAGGTTAGATTTGTCGAGAAACACACACGTCATCTGTGAAATGTCCATGGTTAATATAACTTCGAACATTTTTAATTAAAATAACTTTTAAAGTTTGTGTTGCATCACCGTGCGTGAAAGGCCCCTCTGGTTTTCATGTATACAAACCGCCTCCTGCCTCACGAGTTTTTTGTTGGCTGCTACAGTTCTTGCTAGCACTTTTTCTTAGCAGACCTTTTTAATGGAAAGAGGAGGCAGACTTGCACAAGAATACAAAACCTGATGTGCTTGCCTGAGCAATAAATTGGAGGGGGGGGGGGGGGGGGGCGAAATATATTTACGCTTCGGGAGAAATTAAAGCAGTATTCAGGAAGCCTTCATTGAAAAGAGTTGTCAACGCAGTGTGCATGTGCATGCGATTTTCGTGTAAACTTATCTGGCTACGTGAGTGTGAACATGAGCATGCTCGTGTGTACACAATGTTTACATGAAAAGCTCTCTGGGTCCTGTTTCACTCAGCACTCCTTGACACCAAAAGCATGACTGGGTGCTGTAAAACCGTCTAAAAATAATTGTTACGTGCCCGAGCGAACGTGCTTTTCAGCGATAAGTGGGTCATTAGCTACTTATTGTAATAGAAGAAACCAGATGCAAAATTATTGTGTCAGAGCGTCTTCAAGCCTGCGCTGAAAATGACTACCATATTTTCCTGTGCAGAGAGGCAACTGCGAGGCGTGGCACCCAGTGCCGACACCGACCTGCACTGGGACTCGTGGGATCGGGCCGGCGTGTCTCATCTCCCTCGACGCACCCACACGTCAGTGCCCTCTGAAGAACTGTGCTCCTCTTTCGGCGGCACGCACTTGTCTCCCTCGGGAGGTGCCCTGAAGCCTCCGACGACACCTCCTGCATCTCGGAGGAGAGCAGGCGCCGGCGGGAGTCCCAGCGGAAGCCTCGCAGCCTTGCCTGATGCCCTACCCCCCTTGACCAAAAGCCGCTCTCACGAGGCACACCTAGAGAACAGAATTGACCTGGGATCTGACCACAACAGTGTGGCATCACGGCAACCACCCACTTTGCCGTGAGTTTCCAGTTTCCTTTGTCTGAAATTGCCCATCTGTAGGTCTTGGAATAGGGGGAGTTCTGTTTAAACAGAGTTCTTTAGATCTCCTGACACACAGTGATACTTCAGTACCTTGAAAACCTTGAAGCCATTAAGTCAACAGAATAGTTTGACTTATTAGGAACCGTGGAACTTTTTTTCAAGAATATTAGAAAAAACTGTATTTTAGTCAAGGCTCCTGTGAACTTGTGAGGTAAATATTATTACACTGCATGCAGCGTGGAGTTGAATATTTTCATGTCAAGTGCGATGAAAAATCACTTTGTCCGTCCCGTGCAATAATGTACAAAGTATGTAGTGAGCGGCTGCGGCAGGTATTGGTTGGCATGAATGGCGCATCAACGGCTGACATTGGAGGCCACATGCCACATCGCGTAGGTACTCTGGCCTCTAGCGGGTGGCAGTTTGTGCTGTAAGCATGCACGCATGAACCAGAAGTCCGTGTAAGCAATCTTGAAAAACAAAAAGAAGACAAGTTCACAGCCATGACACCTAGCAACCTAACATTTAGGCAGTTCATCGCTGTCTAGCCAAAACGCCCTTGTGTAGGTGGCTTCCAGTGTGCTCATCATGAGAAAAGAAGACTGAAAGCACTTGTTTATCATGGTAACTTCACTTTTACTTCAGGGATCAAAAATTTTGTCTCAATGTTTGCAAGGCAACGGAGTCAAATATAGTTAGGCCTTATGAAAGTGTTGGCAGTGGCACTTCAGTAATGTTTTAGGAGGAAAATGGAGGTAAAAAGATGTTATGGGAGGTCTGTGTGCGTGTTCAAAAGGCTTCGAATCTGTTCAGACATGGTTACTATAGGAGTGTAACTGTGCCAGTCTGAGCCAAGCTGTCCTTTTTATGATGCTTACCTTTTCAGCATCTTGATATTAGAAGCTCAGCATTCATTCTACAAGATAAGGTCAGCTGATATCCTACTGCTCATTTGAAATCTGCTATCTTCTTAATACACTTGCAGTAGTCGATAGTCTACGAAGGCAAAAATTTCGTCTTTTATTTTTCAGTTGCACTTCAATGAATGTCACATTATTTTCACATGCTTTATACATGTTTTCAGTTTAACGAAGATTCTCGTTTAACGAAACGATTCTCGGTTCACATCGACTTTATTAAGTCAGTGCAAAACGGTACCCTCATAGATGCAGTATGGTATCTATCTCTTATCAACTCGCATGACATTCAAGAGAAATTCGCTCCGAATTGCAGGAATGATGGTGGGTTGCGGAGGCGGCTAGCCACGGAGCCCGGGCTAGAGCTGGCCAACTGCTCACCACTTTCGCCAAGCCGATCGCCACCGTTTGTATCCCCCGACCAACAGGGAGATGCATGCTTCGTGGATGAGCCTGCCACGCAGCGTAAGTAGCTTCACTCTTTTCGTTAAGAGTAGATTACCTCCCCTGTGTCTTCTCCGGACGAAATTAAAGTTGTAATCATCATTTTCATCATTCCTTGATGACCCAGGTCAAGGAAAAATGATCTCTAATATTGCTAAGTAAGTAAAAAATGGGTTAAAGCACATTTAGTGGTTGACCTTCAGTTGCGCTAGGCGACTGTCTTATTTTACTTGAAGAGGAAAATGAGTAAAGAGTGCATTCTGCCTGGTGCAATTGTGCAGGGTGAAAACATGGAGATTAAATAAAAAAACAACTGAAGGGCCACACAGTTACTAGCGGAATAAAAAAAAAAAAGGAGGGCATAAGACTAAAGGATAGGATAATGGCAGAATAGGTTGAGTAGCAGACATGGGTACCTAGTTATTCTAGTTCAGATTATGATGAAATGCATGCTGAGCTGGTAATTTATTATGAATAACTGCCTGTCTTGTGTCAAAGTTAAATGGATGACAAGGAATGAAATGATGCAGTTGTTGATGGCAGAAAAGTTAAATGATAATGATATTAACGAGGTTCTTAGCCATGGCAGTGAGTCATTAGAATCAATCAAAGTGTGCCTAGAAATGTATGCATTGTAATGGACATGGCTGTATTTGGGCTAATATTAGTGGTGGGGACAATGATTGTTCAAAGCTCGGTGACATTATTCGATCAAGGTTTCTTCTGTAGACTATGGAAAGTACTTGAAAATTAATATTTAACCTTTTTGGTACAGAAAGAATAGGATTTCGCTCAAGGCAACTAGAAATACTTTTTATGCATTTGCACGTTACAATCGAAATTAATTCTGTTCTGTTGTGGGGAGTTTGAATGGTGGATTTTCTCATTGTTTTAGTGGATTGTTGAAGTTATTTGCCCTACAAAAGTTCTAATTATCCCACAATCCTACAAGCTTTAATTACTTCAATGTTAGTTTGATAGTGCATTATGGTAACAATGGTTTAAGTAGTAAGAAATATGTATGCTTGAATGCAAGAAAAGCACTAGTGTGTGTTAATACTCATTATTAAATGCTGTTTCAGGTCTTTGTAATGTTTCTTTAATGCAGAACAAGAGAGATAACAATTTAATTGTATCACTATACATAACGTAGGTTGCTAAAAGCGATTTATTTTGATTTCTCACTACTTTGTACTTTTGATCTCATATCAATTTTTTTTTTCTTTGTGCACTTGTAACTGTCCATCAGGCCTGCCTAAATAATGATGGATATTTCAGTGGAAATAATAGGGGTAGTCTCTTGAGCTTCTTAGAGAAACCAGATTGGTTTTCCATCGTGTATAGCAAGAAAGCTTACATTCATTTCCATGTTACAGCCGTTGTACCCAGGTCTCCACGGATGCATGGAATGGCCCATGCGATTCACCACAGGTGTGTAATTTCAGCATTGAGCCCTCTACGGCAACAATACCATAGCTACAACTTATTTGCACCATCATACTTAGACATTACTCGCATTACCTGTGCAGGTTCACATCTAGCGTCAAAGTCACCACCTGCCAGCAATGTGACAAGGCCATGTTTTTTGGCTACAAATGCAAAGAGTGCAAGTGAGTGAATCGAGAGCATGGGCATTAAAGCGAAATGGCAAGCGTTCTTTGTTGATAAGATATTTTAATTTAAAGGCTCTTGGCTGAAGAGCCATTAACAGTAGTTCGTACGACCTACTCACAGAGCTTGCCGACTCCACAGCCAATTTCGTGGTTGCAAGATCATCACGATCCCTGTGTACTGTTGTGTTCAGGTTCCGATGCCATCGTGACTGTATGGAGAAAGTGCCTCCCTCGTGCGGATTGCCAAACGAACTGGTGGATGTCTTTGCAGAGCACATTCAGAAAGGAGGTGAGAGCAAGGAACTCTTGATTGTTTTTCCACCTTTGTAGTAGTCATCACCTGGCATGTAGCCTGCCAAGATGGCACTGGCTTCACTGCTTACAAGGTTCTGTCAGGACTCTCGTTCTCTCATGCCCCGTAGGCATGCAGTCCCCAAATCATGCGGCGGCCCACCTGGGCAGCAGTCCCCTCCACGGGGGCAGCAGTTTGCGCTCCGAGGGGAGTCGCGGGGGGCGCCCCGCCATCTGCCTTCCTCCTTTCCATGGTGCTGGGGGTCCCGACTCGTCTTCCTCGTCGTGCAACTCATCGACTCCCTCGTCGCCGGCCTTCCTCATGGCGGCCTCAAGGCAGAACACGCCTTCCTCAGCCTCCCGCCTGCAGCAGTTCCATTTTCCTGGTACGCACCAGGCAATGCTGCCCTCTCATAAAAAAAAAAATTTTGTTGCTGTGACTTTCTCTACTTTTGCTCTGCTGCTACTAGTCTCCACAGCCATGCAGTGAAGGCAGGCAACGTTGAGCACGGCAACAGTAACGTGAGAAAAACCACTTTCAGGCGGGTGATTTGAAGTGTGCTAATGCAATGCCGACCGCTAAAGCTTGATTTTATTAGAATATAAGCACTTTCTTGGCACAAAAGTAGCACTTTAAGGTTTCTGGACTGCAAGTTTAACAATTAACTTCGACTTAATAGTTGCCTTTAGTGTTCCTTGAATGTGCCTTGTTGACATAATTTTACACTAACCTACATTTCATCCGTTTCTTTTTTCCAACTTAGCTCCAAATGTTGTGCTTGTTTGGAAGAGTTAACCTGTTTTAGTAGAGCTCGAAGGTTCTTTATAATCACACTTAGCTGCATCTTCTATTTCATTGCAGAGATCTTGTCTTCTGAAAAGGAATTATCAGCTCCAGCGTCATCACTTGCCCAGTCTGATGTGGTTGAGACAGTCAAGTCCACTGACAGTGACAGAACGGTGTCTGGTACATCAGGATCTGGAAGCATAAGCGTATGTGGTCACGAATCCCTTTCTCACCGGCCTACACCTTCGCTCTGCTTTTAAGCAAAGACAAAGGACATTACTTAAAGACAGTTTCTGGTCCCGTGATTCTTGTAGAAGTCATTTTCCTTAGCGATTTGACTACCTTGGAACACTAAGTAATTTGGGACTCTTGCCAAGTTACTGTTGCGCTTGACATTAGATCTCGCTCTCTCAGACGGATTCCGAGAAGACGCTAGCCTCAACGAGAGTGGACTCGCAAGACAGTCAAGTCTCGGATTTGGATCCGACTGACAGGCTGTGGCCACGACAAAATAGTGTACGTCCCTGCTCTTGACCCTTTGCTCTCTTTGGTACGAGTCGGCATCAGCCGTGCGGTGTTAACTGCACAGTCAGTGCGGCACGTTTTGCTTTTGCAGCTTTCTTTGCGGGAGTGGGACATTCCTTTTGACGACGTCCAAATCAAGGAGAAGATCGGAGAAGGCCGATTCGGGAGCGTCTACAAGTAAGGGAACGCTGTGTGGTTTCTCTAGGTCCTTTGCTGAGAAAACTGGGGTTGTTAAAAAGCACACTTTAAGGAGCACTTAAATCACTCGAAGTGTGAAGACAAAAGAGTGGCTTCTTTCTTGCCATCCCTATGCTCCCTGCAAGTGCTGTCTTCTCCGTGCCACTTATTTCTTCATAAAACACGTGGGCAGTCCAATAAGGTTGAGAGCTGTGCTTGTTAGCGACTGATCACAATTGGTGACTGATTACCATACGGTGTTAATAAACAAGGACAGTATCAACACTAAGCATAGAGCCTATCAGGATTTTGTTCTTTTCAGCTATCTCCGCTTGTGCAGTTGGAAATTCAAAAGAAGTGAAATCGGTTGATTGTTGCGTGGTAGTCATGCGAGTCTAGGCAGAATGGGCACGCGACTGCATGGTAGAGCTTGGGGTGAGACTGTTTACCCCGATATTCTCAGGTGTAGACCAATAGAAACCTTATTTTCCCACTACGTCACGTGCACAGACTGCTGGCGTAATAACTTGCACTTGGAGAAACACTTGGAGTAAACATGCTCCTCCTTTGTAATTTCAATAGTTTCTACACGTTTCCACAAACATTTTTTTTCCTTCTCTTCTTTAGGGGAAGTTGGCACGGAAGTGTTGCTGTGAAAATGCTCAATATGGATCACATAGATGACAGGAAAACTCTGGAAACATTTAAGCAAGAGGTAGATTTTCTCCTCGTTTGGTCTCTTTTCTGCCCTTTTCATTTTGTGAGACGAGGTGATTATGAGAAAGTAAAAAAAAAATCTATGTCCCTTGTGCACTAGGTCGCAACCTTCCGCAAGACGAGACACGAAAACTTAGTCCTCTTTATGGGTGCCTGCATGAAGCCACCAAAGCTTGCTATCATCACGAGGTGAGTGCATTCACCAGATATTTTTTTTTTTCTTTCAATGTTTCTCTTCGTTTGTTGGGTTGCTCGTTAATATTATTGGCGGAAACCACATAGTGCATGTCAGGTAAGGGTAACTCATTATGAAAAACCACGAAAACAGTTGTAACTTGCCAAGCCACTTTTATCACAACAATCAAAGAACTGCAGGAAAATAATTGCTGATGTTCTAAAAAAGTACATCATCATGAAATTTTGTACTTTAAAAAGTAGCAGCAAATTATACACCCTTCAGATCAGAGAGGGACATTAAGCTTGGCCAAACGAACTTTTTTGAATAACTGCACTAAGTCTTAAAAAGTTAGCAGTTTGGGCTTTTTAGCATATTTCGTTACACTTGACAGTTATAGTGCGAAGAATGAGTGAGAATGTTGTGAGCAGACCAGGGTAGCAATAATCTCTGTTGATGCCGATTCATCACACTCTGCCAGGCATAACGTACTAATGCGACTTACTGCCTCTGTCACTCAAAAATTGTCATCACTAAATGAGTTGCAGAAGCGGATAAGACTTAGCAACTAAATATAGGAACTTTTTTTGCTTAGTTACCAACAGTTCTCTGCTTTGTTCTCCCATAATACAGTCCCACCTTAAACTTTTATTTGTGTTCACTTGAATGGTGGCAGCAAAAGAGTTGCTAGTCTGGTTTCCTGATTGTGTGTTGTCATTGGCCGTTTTTGTTGCAGTTTATGTAAAGGCATGACACTGTACAGACATATTCATCTCCGAAAGGATAAATTCAACCTCAACAGGATTAGCGGCATAGCCCTGCAGATTTGCCAGGTTAGTGGTGTTTCATTTTGAGGCTATGTAAATCACGCACGGGCTTATCCTGCTCCCCATTTGTAGCGATTCTAGTCGCGTTTTTCATTACTATGCGCATACTCAAGTTGTTAAGGTTTGCAAAAAATTGTTCTTTTTGTCGCCATGAGATGTCTACGTTGCTTGCGTTTGCTGCTGAACTTGCCTTGATATTTTTATCCCAATGTCCTTTTTTTTCAACCAGGTATTACAGAGAAGGCTTTGTATGATACGTAATTGGGAAATATGCAGTGTGCAACCACGGCTTATGTGTCACTATTTAGGTCTTCTTTATATTCTGAAATCTTGGTGATCACACTGAATGGAGTAGCTTTGTAACAGTACTGAAGTATATCGCACCAACTTAAACGCACACTTTGCAGCTGTTTGATGGAGCTGAAAATCACACATGAATGGTGGCGCGGTAACTCCAGATGCAAGAAAACTTTCGACGCCATAGAAAACATAGTTTCAGTTAATGCTGGTTAAGCACAGCCTCATAGGAATAATGAAGTTCAAAGTCTGAAATGTGAGTGGGTGCATAAAAATAAAAGCTGACAGAAAAAAAATATAAATAAAATAATGGTACTCTTGAAATTCTATATCGCAACACTAACTGTGGAGCAGTTCCTGTCCATTATAGAGATGTTTTTTCTAAAGAAATATGACATGATTTCATTTTCTGATCAACCCTTATAATAATGTAGGCACACTGGTTGTTTTCAATACCCAACAGACCCTTTTCATAATTGTGAAGCTAGGTTTCCTGCAGTGCAGTTTGCCCAAATAATGGCGAAGTAGTCAGTTGCTGCAAACACCATGTTCAAGCCAAGTTTGCTAGCGCTATGACACATAGAATGTATGCTCACCTCTCTTGCGATAAATTAGCTTAATATACAAGTCTCAGCACGTGCAACTAGGATCTCATCTCGGCTTGAAAGACTACTGGTGCTGCCTTAGTTCAGCGAATGTGCAGCTCCTTTCAATGCATTGTGGAGCACTTGCAGACTATGAAAAGGCTCTATTGACTCTTACATCATTGTCTCTTGTGAAGAGATTCAACTGTACTGCCACGTTCGTTCAGAAAAGAAAAATTAGTTCTTCAAACTAATCTGCTGCTCCTTCACCAGGGGATGGGCTACTTGCATGCCCGCGGCATAGTGCACAAGGACCTCAAGACGAAAAACATCTTCTACGAAAATGGGAAAGTAGTAATCACCGACTTTGGCCTCTTCTCAGTCACCAAGCTCTGCCAAGGAAATCGGTAAGTTGCTGAGTGTGGGTGGTAGAGGCTAGGATATATTTGTAGGTTTGACATGTCATCATCATCATCAGCCCGACTTGTGCTTCCTGCCGGTCCTGTGCTTCTGGCTGCCACGTTATACCCGCGAACTTTTCAATCTCATCGGCCCACCTAACTTTTCTGTCTCCCCTTCATGCGTTTGCTTTCTGTGAGAGTCCAGTCAATTGCTCTTAATGACCAGCGGTTATCCTGCCTATGAGCTAGGTGCCCGGCCCATGTCCATTTCTTCTTGTTCTTCTGTGTCGTCCTCAATTTAAGCTGAACCTTCTTTGTAAGCCTCTGTGTTTTTGCTTCGTAGGTAAGTATACCGGCAAGATGCAGCTGTTATGTACCTTCCTCTTGAGGGTTAGTGGCAGATTACCATTCATGATATGAGAATGTCTGCCAAATGTGATCCACCCTATTTTTATTCTAGTTATTTCACTCTCATGGTTCGGCTCCACGTTACTACCTGTCCCAAGTAGACATATCCCTTTATAACTTCAGCGTCTCTCCACCTATACCAAAGTGCTCTTTTCTGCCGAGACTTTTGAACATTAGTTTTGTGCATATTAATTTTGAAACCTACTCTTCTGCTTTCCTATGTCCAGTTCAGCAATCATGAGCTGTAATTGCCACCTGAGTTACTCATCAAGGCAATGTCATCAGTGAATCACAGGTTACTAAGATACTCTTCATTAACTCTTATCCCTAACTCTTCGCAGTCTAGGGCCCCGAAAACCTCCTATAAACACGGAGTGATTAGCATCAGAGAAGCTGTGTCTCCCTGCCTTCTTTATTGGGATTCTGTCGCTTTCTTTATGGAGAACTATGGTGGCTGTGGATCCACTGTAGATATCTTACAGTACGTTTATGTCGGGTTACTCTATGCCTCGATTCCGTAGTGCCTGCACTGCTGCTGATGTCTCGACTGAGTAACCCCTTCTTGTAATCTATGCAAATTAGGTATAGGGGTTGGTTGTATTCCGCACATTTTTCTATTACCTGATTGATAATATGAATATAGTTTATTGTGGAGTAGTCTGTACGAAATCCTGCTTGGTCCTTTCGTTGATTGAACTCTAATGTCGCCTTAATTCTATTAGCTATTACTTTTGTAAATAGTTTGTGGAGAATGGACAGTTTACCATAATATTAAAAAGCAGATAGAATCATTTCTATCTAAAAAAAGACGCAAGGGAAAATTCTTTGCAATATGTTTTCTCAGCAGTGCTGTGTAGGAGCCATACACACATCTTGGTGACATCTGTTCCCTGGTGTAAGTTCTCGCGGACTTGTTCTTAGTATTAAGGAACTAATTGAATACTAGGGATTTTGTGTGCCAAAAACATAATAATGAAATTATTAGGCATGGCCTTGGTGGGGCATGCATATCATTTCTCACATGTCTAATGGAAAGCAGACACACAGATGGTGGCATTGGTAGTTTGCCTTTGAATGAAGTGCGATCGAGCACACAGAGGAGAGTCATGTGGCTGAGCAATTTACAGCAAGATGATACGAGTGTTGAGAAACACAATAGCAATAAGTCTTCAGTGCCTGTACCTTGAAACAATTGAAACAATGCACATGAGAGTGCATATCATAACGTGCGGAAGTGGAGGTGCGAGCGCACAAAAGTGAACTACGCAAAGTTTCAACCTTGCCTGCAAACTCCGCACTTGGCTGCCTTTATATAGAGAGCAAAGTCAAAGGCTAGCTACACAATAGGCATGTTTCTTTCCTTTTCTAGAAGTCATAGTAGGTTAAACCACCTTCAGAATGTTTCTCGACTGGGCGTCATTCTAAGAACGTCCTTCCCTCCTCCCGAATGTTTATTCATCGCTGTGCTTGTATGCCAGTATGAGTGACCACTTGAGGGTTTGTGTCCGCTGTCAAAATATGTACAGCATCAAAGCTCAAAGGCAAAGTAAAAGGTCAATTGTCATTTGTGAAGTATCACTCGTGTGTACTGATTTGCGATTGCCTGCAGGAAGGGAGACTGGCTGACAATTCCCCAGGGGTGGCTTTGCTACCTGGCTCCAGAAGTGGTGCGTTGCCTACGGGCAGACAACCAGAACGACGCTGACGACCTCCCTTTTGCGACCGCCTCGGACATTTATGCCTTTGGGTGAGCGGTCCATGAAAACTCCAGCAATGTGTTCTTGGTCGCTCTGACAACTTCTCTTGTGCTGCAGTGCATATCTGAAAAGCTGTCCGGTAGCAAAAACCGTCCAACACTTGGTATTTGAATTTAAATTGGTGGCCAGTAGTGCATGTTAGAGGAGTGGGAGCTAATGAAGGCTGTGTATGCAATGGTCCACCTTTCAGGCCAATTACACGACTCGCTGATAGTGGCTCAATGAATTCACTTACACTGTAACGCAGCGATTAGCCTATCAAGCTGACCCCTCTCTAATAAATTTTGTGAAAAAAAGAGTCCCATGAAATCGATTGATTTACGTGCAAAGTCGGCCCATGTGAGAAGCACATTGCTTTACGTGTAATTGCCGCGCATGTGAGATCAGCTGATACATCGAGCTTCAGTATCAGACTTGGCTCACGGTGTATTTCGTTTGCAGAACATTTTCTGGAGATGTCACGTTAATAACCACTCACTTGCTTGTTCGTGTCTTATTACGAAAGCAACCAGCATGTTACCTGCGCAAAATTTCTAGCGCACTTAGGCGACAGCAGATGCTGCTGCAACTGTGGAGATTTCTATTGCATGCTGTCGATATGTGTGTCAGTCATTTTTCTGGTTTGACTGTGCAGGACGGTGTGGTATGAGCTGTTGTGCGGGGAATGGCCATTCCGAGGTCAGCCCTCTGAATCCATCATCTGGCAGGTGGCCAAAGGCATTAAGCAGTCGCTGGCCAATATTCAAGCATCACAGGACATCAAGGTCAGCAGCATGCTGCATCAGGATCATTTTTATCTCTCCAAATGCCTTTGCTCAGAACTAGACAAAATGTGCTAAAATTAAGGAGGCATACCGCTAGAAAACTACTTTTTTTTCATTCGTAGTTGATTGTAATGCAACTTGCCTAGCTTACATACATGTATGCTGATTTCAAAGATACAGTTGTTCTTGTTTCTATAAGTACTTTTAAAAATATTCTACGAACAGCTACATTTTTTGTTTTAGGCCAATTTAGTTAAGGGGAGATGCTACATGAAGACATTTTTTTTGTGATGTTCACCCTAGAGCAATGAAACTTGAGCTGTTTATGGAACTTTTTATGATGATTTCAAATATATAGTTTTCTTGTTGCTTACTTTTAGTTTTGCGAAATGACAAAGTGAAAACCTTAACCCTTTTGCCCCCCCTCCTCTTTTCATCCCTAAACTTCCGTAATTTTTTACCATTCATAGTTCATAATGTTTCAAATAAAGTGTAGAATACAAATAACTAATTAGGAAGCACATACAAAATACGTAATAGGCGGGAAAAACAATATACATAAAAAAGTCCATATTTCACCTACCCTAGTAAAGGTTTACATACATTTTTTTTATTATGAAATAAAATATTGAAATTTAAATTAGATAATTGTATTTGTCATAATTTGAAAAAAAATTCGGGAGAATTTTATGCAGATCCGATCACTAGAAATGCCCGAAAAAGAAGGGGCACATTGAAAAAAATGGCGAAATTCGTGTTTTGAGAAAAACGAGTTTTAAAGTTAAAATTGAGTTTTTATTTATGAAAGATGTCTATAAATGCAATGAAATTTGCACATCAAAAAGAACAATCCTTCTTGTAGTGGCCACTGCCACTAAAATACGCCAGCATCATAAGTTTGTCTTTCTCGGCTTTTTCGAGCCGACTCCTCAGAGACATTTCGCTCATAGACAGGGCCATGAAACGCTTGTCATACTCCTTCCGCTCCATCTTGCAGAGCTTTGTGCCGACTGCAACCTAGGAAGAAGTTTGACAGGACTGCGAAATCTAAACTAAGTCCAGTGTCGAGGGACACAACAGTGCCGATGCCATTTTGCGGCCACTTTTATGCCACATACCGTCGTACATAATGGCAATGTCGTCCCCGCTAAGCTTCCTCACTGTAAGCTCCTTCCATTGCCGCATTACATCATCCATTGCCGCATTACAAACTTTCCGGCTGATGGGTGTGAATGACTCTTGATGCATTGGCTTTTGCAAGCCAAGGATCTCCCCCTGTGCCAGCCCTTGAGAAATGCACAACGTTCACCCGCAGGACTTTCTGATGGTGTGCTGGTCGTACAAGCCCCAGGATCGGCCGGCTTTTGCGAAGCTGCAGGTGCAGTTGCAGAGGCTGCCCAAAAAACGCCTTGCCCGAAGCCCGTCGCACCCTACGCACTTGTCCCGATCAGCCGAGTCCGCGTTTTGAAAGCCGGCTGTGACTAGCAACTCTTCCTCGTTCACTGCTCCCGGATACTGCGCTCCACCTCCTCTGCATCTTGATATTTTTGTCTTCTTTTAAAATCGGTTTACTCTCGTTTATCTGAGCTGCCCAAAAGAAGCAGCTGCCGTTTAAGTACACTGGAATGAAGATAGTTTTTTTTATTTTTGTTAATATCTTCAGCTCGGATATCGGTGAAGTTTGTTGTGTTTTTCAATCCAATGCTTTATTTATCTTTCATTGAACAATGCATGACAGAAGAAGTCACAAAAGCAACTGAAGGGAGTCACTTGACTAGGTGGCTTAATATAGATGTTAGTCTACCAGCTGTGTGGAGCAGATTTTCTAGTTATGGTATAAGTTTGAACGGTTTGTGTTCGGGTGCCACAAAGCCCTCTGGCGATGCAGGCCACATTTAGCATTGTCGAAATGGAGCACTTCGAACAGATCCTGCCAGTTCTTTTGGAGCACGGCGCACTGGCTTGGAGCGCCCCCGTGGCACTCAAATCTTCGACCTCAGAGCGTGACAGATCTGAATTTCCGGTCGCATGGCTCCTGCATCTTACTTTGTTACCATGACGAGACGTCTGCTTTCGCAGTGTGCACGACGGTTTCTCGATGCTTGCACATTTAGTTTTCGCTACGGAAGACGTGCCAATGCGTTTTCATACTTAGTAGGAGTTGTTTGAAAACTTTGAGTAATGAATTCAGTAGCGTTCTCCACATGAATTCTATTCGATTCCCTGGTTGAATTGAATGGTGCATATGACAAATTCCGAATGTTTTTCGAATATTTTATATCAATAAGCACTGATGAAAACAACCTCTCACGGGAACGAAACGTAACATAGAAGGGTGAAGCTTCGTGTTGTTATTATCAAATGACCAAGTTGCGTATAGTCCAAGGCTTTACTGGACTATCGACGCCATATAGAATATTGGATCAAGGCATTTTAAAGTGTAAAACACTAGTGTCGCCGAATCCACAAAGCAATTAGTCTATTATTTTCACCGAGTATGTTTCCTCATGAATACTATTTAATATTTATATATCAGTTTGTTTAAAAGCTGTTGATGAAGTGCCACAATAAATACTGTTGTGTATTGCATCCTGCAGTCACAAACTAGGTATTTCTAGGGCTTTAGATGCTGCTGTATACAAGTCTGCCTCAGTGAATGACTCAGTTGGCAGAATTGGGATATATTTTTTCATTTTTTTATCACTTTCAATTGATTGTAGTCTTGTTTTGTTAAAGTGAGAGAATAGGTATGTGTTTCAAATAAAGTAATGTGGGTTTGGCTGCTTCAAAAACGTTTACATTACCATTCTAAGGCTACTTTTAAGATGATTGCCTTACTATTCAAAAACTGTTCAAATAATTTTTGTAATCATTCGATTTGGTGCCATTGCTATTCGATTCATGTTCTATTTGAATTCTAAAATTAACTATTCGCACAGTCCTACTATTCAGGCCTCCAATTTCTCCACCAAGGGACCGCTCGTTTTCTGGCTCATTTCAGGAGCTGTCTCTGTATAGTTGCAATGCAAGTAAAAAAAAACAGTGACGAGCTAAATTAGACCACGAAAACTTTAAAAAATAATAATTGCTCTGAAATCAACAAGAACTGTAGCACCAAGCTCACAATTACAGCCATTAAGAACAATACCACAAATCTGTGAACTGTGCTTGCAGTGGCATCTAAAGCATACCAAACTGATATAAACCATAACTTGTTAGTGGAACATTGACGGAACTCTCGTGAATATGTTGTGACAGTCTTAAATCATGCGTGAATCTAATCAGATTTGTGTGGTCCAGACAATTTTGTCTCAGCCTGCCTACACAAGTGCGATATCTAGCATTGGGGGAGAGCTACAGAGCCTCAGGTTGGTAAACTTCGTGCCTGAAGTGTCTGCTTTTTTTTTAATGCTCATCTATTACTGAAAATTTTCGTTAAAAAAAAATATTCTAGATACCAATTTTGCTTGCTATACTTCTAGTTAGTCGGTGGACTTAAAACTTATCGCACTTGAGAGATATCTTAATTCAAGTGAATGTGGCTGTTGGTGTCTAACGAGAGCATCTGTTCATCCAAATTGTATTTTAATTGCGAAATATGTGTTGGCCTCAAGGCAAAGCCAACGTTTGACGCGACCATCAATGGATGTACCGAGTCAAGTTGAAAAGATCCGACGCTAAATGATTTTACAGTTGTTTCACAAGGCTAATCGTAACAGGAAGAAATGTCTAAATATGGACAGTAATACCACTGCATAACACGCATGCATGAAGTCATACTTCATTATAGCTTGCATCTGCGACGCAGATATTTTCATGATGTCTGATACATGTTTCCTGGGAACATGCTAATATTACCACGAAGCATTTTAGGTTTACTTGGATGCATATGATAACCGGCTATCATGCTCATGTCTGTTGTGCTAGGTTTGATTATAACAAATTAACAATTTATGACAGTTATTTGATATATAAAGTAAATGTAAAACATTTCTTGCCGATTTCATGGTGTAAATATCGTTATAGTGATTGGTATATATGGCAAAGGCACTTTTTTCATGGTATTGCATCAAAAATGTTCAATAATACGAGATCTGTAGGACTACTAAACATTGTAGCCTTATCAGGCTGTTTTTTTTTTCTTGCTTTTTCATTTCATGGCTCTTGGGCAGTTTTGTTTGTACTTTCATTTTTCTGTCACCTTTTCGTACAGATGTTCTTATAAACTAAGTCAGGCTAGATAAGTTTAGATAAAGCTACTCTTCTACGTGGCTTCTTAGCCAAAAAAAAGGCAATAAAATGCCTTGACTTGCTCTAAACCCTAAACCATGATGATGACATAACGCAATCCAACAGATGACCCGATGACCCTTTTTTTTCTTTCTTGATCTGTTTTGAAGGTTTCTTTCATGCAGGAAAAATCGCACTAGAGTTTCAAGTTTCACATGACAGTGTAACTCAAAAACGTCTAGAGCAATTTAGCCACAAAATTTTACGGTGCTCATATTTTAGTGTCGTGAAATAAACATTGCCTAGTTATTCTAGCTTCTAGATTAATAGCGAAATCTACCGAGTTACCAATATAATTAACCCTATCCTGAATAACTCTATCGAGCTGTGCTGCCTTGGCTATTCTGGGGCACCAGAGCGTAAATTATTAGCTCCCCATCGGCAAACGGTACAGAGTGTAATCTTAAATGTACATATCACACACAGCAGGATTTGCGAATCGCACATGTAGCAGACTTTATCCTCGTTATCCTGTTTAGTTCCGTGATAACTTTTTGGTTTGTCGAACTATCACGCACTCGCTAGTGAATGATAGTTGCTGGTATTGAAGCACAAGTCAGTGACAAAAACTACAGTGCTCACTAAGAGGAACTATTTCACACTTCGCAGCCATTTGCAATGACTGACGCTTTTGTGTTGTCAGATGTCCTATCATTGCAACGTCACTGCATTTATAATGTTGACGTCAGCCCAGAAGAGTATGCCAGAGCATTGCGAAGTTTCAAGATGGCGATCATTTTGTGTGCGAGTGTTTTTGAGCTCAAGAAAAGTGTCGGGGTTTACATACTGTTTTTTTTTTTCTTTTGATCTTCAAGCCCACTTTCTTAAGGTGCCAGCGAAGCTGCTGTCATTGCGTGATCAATTTAGGGATCTGCGATGCCTTTTCTTTTCTCAGTGAGATGAGCAGGCACCGCGTGTGACGGAGTACTCTTGGAGACTAATGTTAACCTGCTGTCAGTGAGCTTCAATAAGCGTGATCCACGTCTTTAGCCCTTGCTCGTTGTGTTTCCGTGCTCGCACGTCACTTCGATGGCCCTTAGTCTCGGTTGAACCATGTGTTATTCTCGAAGCGTGTTGTGTCAGGTTTTGGGAACAAACAAAACTTCATGTCAAAGTACATGCCGAGCTTCCCCGATTTCAGAGTTCCACGGCAATCTGCTCATTAACGCATTTGGGTTAAAAGGGTGCATGGCTTCCTTGCTTGGTTGATTCATATGAACATGGCATGGGGACAACACGTGGTAAGGCCGCGTGGGATATTGCCTGGTTGCAGTTCCTCTCCTACCGTGGTGGGTGTTGGTTTTGGAAGTTCCAACTCTGCTCTTTTTATGTTGGCGAAGGATAATGTCACTGCTTCTGAATACAAAACGCTGCTTTGCCTGTTCCCCAGTGTCCCTTCTCTTAAACTGGACGCTGTGCTTTTCAGTAACGGTTCTCCACAGCTCCTCGAATGATGAGTTTCTTGAGGAATGCATCTTTGCTCCCGTTGTCTTAGAGTTGTTGCTTGTACAACCTCGGTGCGAGGTTTTTTTCCTTTGAGATGAAGTGATCAAGTAATTGTAGTAGAGTGCTGTGAGCGAGCGGCTCTGTTTTTTTTACCTGCTGTGAAGTTGAGGTGGTGTCTTTTAAGAAATAGATGAAAGCGATATGGAAGTAGTTAAAGAGGGGAAGGGCATCCTCAATTATAAAAAAATGCTGCACATTGGCCCTCTCTGTCATAGATTACAATTTTTCATTGTAGAAAACATCAATTTTCTACATTTGTTCAGCCCTTACGTTCTAAAGGGGATATGTGGCCATGCCTTTTCAATATGTGATGTTTTTGAGACTTGCAAACATATATACTGGCTATCTGCATTCAAGTTTGACAAGACAAGCATGAAAATGCTGTGTGTTGAGAAGACTTTTGTTTTGCTACAATAGCTGAAGTGTGTGTAAGACTTGTCTTTTGGTGCAACACTAATTTCTTCTGTTGAACTTTATAACCTTTTTTGCGTTTTTAGCGGCTACAGGTGTCTAACACTAAACTGAGCTACTTTTCAGTAGTTTGCCCTTTACTGTGCCACAATGCTGCCTTACTTACTGTATTGCTGTTTGTTCATCGAACATTCCACCATTGCTTTGAATTTGCCTAATTAGCACATTGAGAGTATTGAAGTTAGAAATAGCATATGAGACCACACTTGCACAGCTGACATGGACACAAAGTTCAGCAGACTGCAGTACCTGGATGCCAAGCTTGAACACTGCTTTTGGAAATGTAGAATGCACAGTCATTTATCTGTCTATGTCCGAAAACACCTTGAACGTCTTGTCCTTTTACATTGAGAAAAAAAAAAGAAGCTGCAAATGTCAAAAGCTGTGACTGGCTTATGGCAAAGTAAAAATTTGTTTGACCGATACTAAAAAGGGCTGGGGGGGGGGCCTTGAAGTTGGGGTGTGGATGTTTTAGAAAGACTGATTGCTGGGTGATTTCATAATCTATGGCTACAGAGAACTATGCAAAATGAACTGGACAAGGGAGACGCATGCACCAGTACACTGAACTTCCGCATGCGTCTACCTTGTCTCGGTTTATTTCCCGTAGTTCTCGGTAGTCGCAGATGTTTTAGGTGCATTGTAATGAGTACACTGGCACTTTGTTACTACACGTAGCCACTTAATTAGAACCATTACGGTCGAATTCAAAGGTCTCATTCTTTTGCGTCGGCTGACTAGCAGAACCAGTCTACTAGTTATGTGCAGAAGTGTTCTGCCTGCATTGCCTATCAACTGTGCAGAACTAAAGTTAACAGCAAGGTTCTTATCGCACAGTTGCACGTACGCACACTACCCCACTTCCGCCATTGCTCTTTCGTATTCATATCCAAGTCCTCACCTAGTCTCAATATCTGAAGCATGTGCAACATGAGGATATACAGGCATTCTTGACTGCACTTTGTGTAGACCATATGTTTAGTTGGGAATAACTTATTTTCTTGTCATTTTTTAATTTTGTATCAGGAAAAATGAAAGAAAAGGCATCGTTTATAGGAGCATAGGTATTGTATTTCTGGCTTGACAATTCTATATTGTTTGCTTGTTGTGTCGTTACCTAGAATGATATTCGCACGAAGCCTCGTTAATAGCCTGGCTATAGTCGGAACTTGAGGTCTCTTCTAGTTCATTGCACTATACAGAAAGAGGTTATCACTGGCATTGAATAACTGGTTCTGTACAGACCATGTTAGCTTCATCGAAGCAACATGACACTGCTGTGCGGAACGAGCGCAGTTGCAAAATCAAATTAGTTTTTAAGGCTTTTGTGACATTGTAGTTAACTGCAATTGTAAATGGCTAACGCATTCTCTTTGCGCAAGAGGTTAGAGCCTTCGATTTTTCTTTTGACAACTTCGATAGCAGATTCAATGCAAACTTTTATCATGTATATTTCTTTTTTTTTTGTCTGCAGCACTCGGTAAAACGATTGCTTTCATGGTTTTTCGAAACTTTCGTCAGGTGGCAAAGTTTAACACACCCACCTCCCAAATGACAAGACGCTCATAAAATGGCGGTTCCTCTTGTATTGTTGGATAGTGCGAGAAAGTGAAGATGACACAATTGTTGAAAGAAGTAGACAGGGTATCGTGATGCGAAGTTCAATTCAAAGCTGTGTGGTGGTAACATCAGTAGTTTCTAGCAACATTGTTAGAACATAAATGTAGGTTACTTTACATATTGAATCGGGGTAGCTGACGAGGTGCAGTCTGTGAATTTTGTGGCCAGTTATTCTTGTGCACTTGTTGTAGTTGCACATATTGTGGCTGTTTGCTTGCTATTTTTATTGTGTGTAAAATTTAAGGCTAAGAAAAAACTCCATGCCTGTGATAGGAGGTCATACGCCGCTGTGGACGTACTTTGGAGGTGGCAACACTATTACTTGATAGCCTGGGGTCAAAGATTGTGAAATATACTTCCCCAAGTCGGAGCTTTTACTAAATGCCCTACGTGAACATGCATATGATATCACGACCTTTCTCCAGCTGTTCTTACAGCTTGGCTGAACAACTGCGGGACGGGCTAAAATACGGCGTTACGT